ATTTGCAAATAAAATAAAACATATAAATATTATGAAAATATAAAAATTTTGAAAAGAAAAAAAATTAAAAATTAAAAATATAAATTTTTAATTTTTAATTAATAGAGACAATTTATAATTGATTTTAAAGTTTGACTTGTCCCTAGCGGAGTCGCCAAGCTGTCGTAACCGGTTTTCGTCCGGGCACGAAATATTTATTTTGGCGAGAAAATCGATATGAATAAATGGTTTTGAAAATAATTTGGGGAGTCGCCATCGGCCTTTTGGGTCAGGTAGGTCGAATACCTAAAAATTATTTTTTTAAAAGAGTTTTAAGAAAACATCAATTAAAAAATTGAACTGATCTGCGTTTATAACCAAAAATTCATTCTTTTTAATAATAAAAAGGGATTCGTGGTCGGTTACGTTTAGGGAAGGATTAGCACCCCTACAACGCCCAAAATTGGTACTTTTTAATTATAAATTGTCTCTTATTATTAAAATTTAAAAATTCAAAATTATATAAAAAATATTTATTTATTTAAAAATATCAGAAAAGAACTTCTAGGTGCCTTAAGACAGCTCTTTTCTTTGATATTGATAAATATTAATTTAAATAATATTGTTTAATTTTTAATTTTAAAATATCAGAATAGGACATCCAGTTGTTTTAAGACTGTCCTTTTCTTTGATATTGAAAACTAAATATTAAAATAATTTATTTAAAATAAATATTTATTTATTATATACTTTTAACAATATTTAAATATATAACAAATAAAAATTAAAAAAATACGATTCTAACTATATATTTAAAAGCAATAAAAATACTTAAAATAAATAACTAAAATATAGTAAAATTAAAATCGAAAAACCTAATTCATAATTAATCAGAATTATAGGGATTAAACATGCTATTCTCTTATTTAATAATTTAGTGACTAAAATAAAATAATCTAAAATTCGGATATTAGAATAAAATAAATTAAAAATATAAACTAAGGATTAAAATATTATTTATTAAAATTAAAGGATTAAATCTGTTATTTATCCTAAATATATTATTTTAATATAAAGGACTAAAATAAAAGAAATTAAAATTAAAGATCTGAATTAAAAGTATTATAAAATCGATTTAGTGACTAGAATGTAAAAATTACAAATTGGAATGGCTTCGGACGGGGTTTACCCTTTGTGAAATTACAGAAATACCTTCCCCAAAACGACGTCGTTCGGGAGAGGGTATTTATAACCTAAACCGGCTAGCCCTACGGGCCAGCTTCTCATTTCCTTTTCTCTGTTCTCTCTCTAACAGAGAGAGAACAAATTTCTCTCTGCCCTCTCTCTAGCTTCCCTCATCGGAGGGAAGCCGGTCACCGGACGGCAACCGTGTGCCGCCGTGACTGTCACCGCCGGCCACCGCATCCGGTGGCCGGAAAAATTTATTTTTACACTAATAGATAGATCGGACCGTCCTAAGGACGGTTCCGGTGTTATTTTCTCCTAAAAAGCTCCCAATCGGAGCGAATCTACAAAAGTACCTTTGGTGTTTCGAAGGTTCCGGTGAGATCCGGTGGTCGGGGCTTCCTCGGTAAGTTTCTCTTCTTCCTTTTTCCTTCTTTTTTGTTTCTTTGCTGCTGAGATCGTTGGTAGTATCTTGTATATATATTTTTTTTCTCGGTTTTGTCTCTCTGGGATCTGTTTTCTGTCTTCTTCCTCCTCTTTTTTTTTTTCAGGTTCGGGTGGTGGCTTTTATAGCCACCACCAGTGTGGCCATCGAACCGGTCCGAAGAGGGGGTCTCGGTGAGTCACCGGACTACCAGTGGTGACTCACCCCGTAGCCATGGCGTGGACGGCTGGCGTTGGAGCTTCTGGAGCCTTCGGTTGGGACGTGGCAGCGGCGGAGGCGGCGAGAGTAGCAGCGGCGGCCGCGTGTCCCTAGGGTATCAGACCCTAGGGTTTCCATCTGGAGCAATCTGGACCGTTGGATCGTGCCAGATCCAACGGTCAGTCTGAGGCGGCTGGCTAGATTAGGGTTAGGAAACCCTAACTGAAACCCCCAAATGTTTAGGGTTTATGGTTGGTCTGGACCGGTTCTGGTTTGTTTGTAACTGGGCCGGTCCAGTTGTAATTGGGCCTGTAATTAATTATTTATATATGTATTTAATATATATTTAATAATAATAATAATGATAATAATAATAATAATAATAATAATAATAATAATAATATGGGTAAAAAATTAGTATCTTCACTTACCGTCAAAGAATTTGGTTAAATTTGGCATCAGACTTTCTTTTCTTCTTAATGATGAATGAATTTGATGAACTCTCAAGTATTGCAGGTGAGGCAGATTTACGGGGCTTTGCTCTTCGTGATGGGGTTGAATTGCCATTGCTTTTCGTGGATTTAACTCTAACCAAGGGTAATTGCACGTTTGGTGAATCCACATATTTCTTTGCTGAAAATGATACATCATTCTCCTCCTCTACTCTCAATTCTCAAAGCTCCCTATGAGCCATTTCGGTTTTCATCAATATCTCCCTCTCACTGGCCTTGAAAGCTTCGATCCATGCCTGAGCTGCAGCAACCTTTTTATCAGCGATCTCTTCAGCTCCAACTGCGTGTCCAGTTAAATACTCATACTCAAACCTTGAGACAGTGATTGTGGAACTATGGTTAGATGCTGAACCTCTAGATTGCATTGTGGTCTCTATGAGAGATCTTAACTTTTCTAGAGCTAAAGCTTCTGATGACTTAACCGCCTCAAGTTCTTGCACAGCTGCCTGCAATCTTTCTTGGTTACATCTGTTTCGCTCAGTTTTCTGGATTTCTGCCTCGATTGTTGCAATGTCTTCAGTGATAAGCATTTTCTCTTTCTTTGATGCCTCCAGTTCAAGGGTGAGGGAAAAGTTCATCTCGGTCGATTTAGCCTTTTCTTCAGCTGCAGTCACTGCTTCCAACTTGGATTTGGCTCTCACCAGCTTCGAATTGAGGCTTTTAACTTTCGAATCCGCCTTTTCTTCAGTTTTCTTCAACTTTGCTGTTTCTTCTGTAACATGTTTCAGCTCATTTCTTATGATATCCATGGAGGACATATACTGAAACCCTTCATCTTTGATGGAATCCAATTCTTTCTTAGCTGCCTCCAGTTCTTTCATGACCGACTCCAAGGAAACTGAAGGTTCCACTCTTTCAACACTATGAAAACTATCATCTTGTTGCTTCAAGTCATCGTCATCACCTCTCGGATACACACTGTCTAGTCCCTTAACTTGCTTCAGCTCATCTTGTAAAAGGCTAATGTCAGACAAAGTGGCACCAAATTTTGTTTCCAACTCTTTGGACTGATCAATCTCTTCAGTTATGTCCTTAACTTTCTTCTTTGTTTCCCCGGTCCAAAACGAGAACTCACCGGCTTCTTTCACTCTTTGAGCTTCAATTTCTCCAGCTTCTTTTTCGGCCTCAATCTGAGCCAATTCAACTAGCACATGTTCCTCTTTAGCTGCCTCAATTTGCTCCTTAAGTGCTTCGACAGTGGCACCATTAGACTTCATTTTAAACCTAGAGACTTCAAATTCCTTCTCTGCTCTTGCTTTCTCTTCCATAACAGATGCCATATAAAGCTTTAGTTGACTCAGTTCTTGCTTCACCAATTCCAATTCTCTCATTACTTCTTCATACTGATAACTTTCAATACTCATCTTGACAACTGATGCGTTTTTCTTAGCCTTAAAATTTGATTCCTCGACCATCAAAGCCGGATTGTTAACTGTTTCCCTTGGACCGAAAAGCTCGGATTCTGCCATAGCCTTTGCCGATTCTGCAGTTCTTCTACTCTCTTTGTACCTATCCGTGCCCCTTCTTGGCCTGTGAAGCTCTTTTACCCTTGAACCAGGCTTCTAAAACAAAAGTTACCCCAGAGATTGCAACTTTGTCAGTCAATTTGAAAACTATAAAATCCCAACAATTTACATATAAACAAAAGGGTTTTCACTAGTCACAGCTGTAGTAAAAATTATACCTCTGGAAAATCAACCGGGGGTTTCTTCAGTGAAGAATTTCCATCCAAAATCATATCTCCACATATATTAACAGAAGCTTTAACTGACCCAATTCTCCTTCTGTTTTCATACTTTTCCCTGTCCATTCTTAAACTGTTCCATTGACAAACCAAATCAGAAAGTTGAAATATATCGATAGAAAAACCTGAAATTCCCAATCCCATAAACCAAAAACAAAACTACACATCGGGAAATTCCCATGAACTGTAAACAGGTTTAAAAGAAAACGAAAATCGAAAGTGGATACTGTAGAGTGAGAACATACCAGGAAACTGTAGAGATGGGTGGAAATCAAGAGCAGAAATGGGAGAAGGAAGAGTTTATAAATACAAAGGTCGTTAAGTACTAAAAAAATGTCCTCAAATACCAAGGAAAAGGGATAAAGGAGAAAACAAAAACAAAATAATGAATCTTTTGATGATCGGCTAATAATTATATTATATTGCCTTTTGGACTGTCATTTTTGTTTGTGATGGAATTAAGCATGTTTAATCTTCTAATTTTAATTTTATTCTTAAATTTTACGATTTTTCTAGAGAATATATCTCTCTAACATTTTAAGCATGTCTAAGAGTGGTTACCTAAATCAAATATAGGCTCACTATTGGTGAGTGACATGCATAAGGGTAAACAATGAAGGAAATGATTCTTTTTGGCTCCTCTTGCATTCCATGAGGTTGGCCACCTTGCATGACCATGTCCATGCACAGATGAAATGTAGTTTTCTCCTAACCATCCTAGATATTCATACCAATGTTTGGGAATGACACCTCAGTTTGTGCATCAGTTGCTTTTAATTGGCAACTGTTTTGCAATACCTGGTGGGCTTTGTAGGATTTCAGGACGTAAATTGAGCATTGTAGGATTGTTCTATTTGTGCATGCTTTTATCATTAGTTAGCCACCATGCTTCTGGGACGAGTAATTTCCTTTTATGTTGTATGAATATGTAGAATCAAGTGTAATCAGTACTGTAAATCATGCACCGGAAATACATCGGCAAAAGCGAGATGCTCCCTTTACTGATTTAGGCCCATTGAAGGCAAATGAGCGTAAAGATGCTCCCAGGCCTTAGAAAGTTACAAAGAAGAAATAAAATCTTTGCAGATGGAAGTGGAAAGATTAAAGGCAGAGAAAACAAATATTTCGGATTTAGTTGATTCCAGCTCTGGTGAGAAAGAGTCAATACAGACAGAAGAGAAAGTCGTTGATATGGATGAAAATAGAACTCTAATCTCTGATCATACTGAACCAACATAAATTGTAGACAGAAATGCACTGTTAATGCCAATTCAAACATTTGACAGCAGTGTTCATAAGCCTGAAGAAAATTTGCCAGAATCGGTTATGAATCCTTCTAACATTACTGATGGTTTCCCAGATGGTAGAATCCCATCTCAACGAGATGAGAAACCACCATCAGAAGATGATGGGTTGCATTTAAATTCCGAAAACCTTGGTGGTGGAGCTCTTCCTGAAAATACGGTAAGTTTTTGAGATATTATATCGTTATCCTCAAGGGTGGTAACAGGGGTTTTTCTGTCTCTGGATTTAGTGGCTAGATTGAGGCTCTAATTCCATATGAGTTTCTTCACGTCTGTTTAAAATTTGAGTGGTTTTCCATTTGAATATCATAGTTTATCTTAAAACTATACTTTCCTCCCACTCCTCGTCCACCACCCTTGAGATTGTTCTCCATGTCTGCTCTATTCTTGTGCTTCCTATTGAAGAAATTCAAGTAAACCTATCATCTCTGATGCCAAGTTCTTTTATATAAATTAACAGGGTTTAGCGACGATTCAATTCCTTGCAGATTCCTTACCTAAGATTGTACCATATGTTTTGATCAATCATCGGGAGGTCAGTTTCTGACTATGTTAGGTGTTAGGTGCCTATCTTATTTATTTGGATCCCATATTTATTTTACTCATCTTCAGGAGCTTCTTCCGCTGATAATGTGTGCTACTGAGAGGAATCCAGATAGCAGCATATCGAGATTCATTTACACACACACTCTTCAATTTGATTAAACGTCCAGATGAACAGCAGAGGCGAATTATAATGGATGTATGTTGCAATTCAAAGAATCACATTTTAGTATCTGTTATAACCATTTTTTTTTGTAAAACAATTAAATATTATTTTAAAAACGATTATGACTTTAATTAAAAAAAAATTGGTGATTATGGATTAATTAAAATTAAATTGAAAATGAGTCACCATCGACCTTTGGGTTAGGTAGGTCGAATACCTAAAAACGTCTTTTAAAAACAATTTTAAGAAAAATAGTTTTATAAGACAAAAATTTGATCTACGTTACCAAAGATTCATTTAAAACAGGTTCGGGAGTCGGTTACGTGTGGGGAAGGATAAACACCCCTACAACGCCCAAAATTGGTACTGTGTCGCTTACACACCATCGTAAATGATGGAAATTATAAATCGTATATAAAGTTAAAAATGATCTATTTATCGAACATTGATTAATTTGCTTCGAATTAAATAACTAGAGAAAATTCTTTAACTCGAAAAGAAATATCAAAATTAGTAATCCTCCATCGGGAAAGCTAACTCAAATATTTCTTATCAGTTAAAGAATATTCCCTCCTAATTAATATTTAAAAACGTGAATCGAATACAAAATGAAAATTTAAAATTTACATTCACACAAAATAAAGTGAGTGTCACTTAAAATACCACACATTGCATCATTTTAATAAATTAATTAGTAAAATATAATCGACTTGTTGTAAGTTCCTATGTCGTTAAAATGCCGTATCGGATCGTACCACTTCGACCAAGTAGTACTTTCCACGCCCAATCTACGCATACGTGTTCTTGAAAATATAATCGAATATTTCATACATATATAAAAAATATAATGAAAATAAATGTAATTAGAAATACAAAGATTTACATTAAATTAAATTAAACACATTATTTACACAATACAAATAATTAACTAATGAGTAAAATACACATCCATACATAAATGACTAAAAATAAAAAATAAATAACATTACAAACCAAAATAAGATACCAAAAATAAGTAATTAAGGGATTAAAATATGATTAACAGAAATTCAAAGGACTGAATAGTAAATAAATAAAAAAAGTAACAGGACCAAAATAATAAAAAACAGAAACATAAAGAACTAAAAAGCTAAAACAGAAAGTTAGAGGACTAAAATGGAAAAATAGAAACTTAAAGGGCCAAATAGAAATTAAACCAAATACTAACAGTGACTAAAATAAAGACTTTACAAATGTCATGGCCAAATTAGGATGTCAATGAAAATGAACAATACACTAGCACAGTGACTAAAATGGAAGAATTAAAAATATCATGACCATATTCAAGCAATCACAGAAACATGTAAGATAAGTGACTAAAATAAAATTATTACAAATATGGTGACCAAATTCTAATAACGCAAATAATATAAAATACATGGAATCAGTGATTAAATTGAAATTTTTTTAATTTATTAAAACCATTATCAAATATAGACAAAAATGCCATAAAGCATGGATAGTGACTAATATGTAACAGTGAAAAGATAAAGGCTCAAAGTCAAATAAAATGAAACTTCATTCAATGGCTAAATCGTGAGATTACAAAGCTCAAGGACCTACAGAGTAGTTTACCCATATCACGAAAACACGGAATTCCTCCCCCTGTTAAACGTCGTCGTTTCGGTTTGGAGATATAAGCCCAAAACCGGCTTATTTCCTTCCCCATTTCTCATTTGGCTCATCTCAACAAAATAGGGAGAGAGAGAGAGAGCAGAGAACTCTCTCGCCCTTCCCTCATCAGGGAAGGAACAACCGCCCTACACCGGTGGTGGCCACGGCGGCTCACGGCGGAGCCCATGGTGGCCGGATAAAAAAAGGTCCCAAAAGACTCCCTCACTCAACCCCAACCCGAAAAACAACCCCACCTAGCCTAAAACCAAACCTAAACCTTTAGATTTAGGATAGATTACCTTCGAAACACCGAGACTCTGACGACCTCTCGGATTCCACGGTGACTTTGGGGCTCCCCGGCTTCGAACCTAGGTAAATCTCTCCACTCTCTTATTTTTTCGGTTGTGGTTTTTGTTTCTTTTTTTCTTTTTTTTCTCTCCTCTTTTCTGGAAACCCCAATGGTCCCCTCATCATCTCCTTCTCTTTTCTTTTATGTTGATCTTTGTGATTGGTGACTGATGGATGGCTGAGTTCGTAGGGAATGATATCCCTATATTAATGCTGATAACTCTTGGAATTGATGAGATTTGTTCCCATTTTTTATATATTTTTTTACTGTGATTTGTTTTGATTGATGACCTCTGTCACTGTTGGTACTGCTCAAGGAATGCTCGGCGTCGGCGAGGGGAAACTCGGCTCAAGCGATGGCTGATATGTCGGTGGAAGCTGAAAAGTCAAGCTGCGGCGGCTGGGAGACCAAGCGGCGGTGGCTTTGATATTTTTAGGGTTTAAAACCCTAACCTGGGGCGATCTGGGCCGTTCATTATCCTCCAGATCTGACGGTAGATGTTGGAGGCGGCTGGGGAGATAGGGTGAAACCCTAGCAATGTTGGGTCAACTGTTTGGGCCGGTTGTAATGGGCTTTGGCCTGCCAAAATATGTAAAAATATAATATTAATAAAATAATAATATAAATATAAAAATAATAATTAATAATAATAATTTAAAAAAGGCCCGGACAAAAATGGGTGTCTACAGCTGCCCCTCTTTGCGCATTCTTGTATTAACAAGAATAGGGCAAAGATAACAAGACAACACGTTTTTGTCTGGTTCTCTCCTTTTTGTCTATAAATTGGATATGTGGTTGTTGGGGACGACACTGCTCATACGTGATGAAGAGTTTGGGTCTTCTAAGGGTGACTCGGTTCCTACGTGATGAGGAGATTTGGTCGGGGATGACACTACTCATACGTGATAAAGAGTTATTGGCCATCTTTACGAAGGTGATAACACGGCTCATACGTGATGAAGAGTTCTGGTTATCAAAGGTTGACACGGCTCCCACGTGATGAGGAGATCAGGTCGAGTGATGAGACGGCTCATACGTGATGAAGAGTTCTGGCCATCTAAAGGTGATAACACGGTTCCTACGTGATGAGGACGACTGGTTATCTAAGGTTGACAAGGCTCCTACGTGATGAGAAGATCTGGTCAGGGGATGACACAGTTCCTACGTGGTGAGGACGACTGACCATCTTTAGGGATAATGGTTTCAAGGGAAACTGACTCAAAGATAAGATTTTGATAGAAACTGTCTCATGCGAGATAAAATTTGTTTTAATAGAAACGATCTCAAAGGTGGGTATTTTCAAAAGAAGTTGTCTCGAGAGACAAAATTTTGTTTCCAAAGAAACATGCTCAAAGATGGATTACGTCTTAAGTGAGACGAAATTTGTTTCAAAGGAAACAATCCCAAAGGTTATTTTTTCATTAGAAACTATCTCAAGAGAGACAAAATTTGTTTTTAAAGAAATATACTCAAAGATGATTTTCAAAAGAAATTGTCCCAAGAGAGACAAAATTTTGTTTCCAAAGAAACAGACTCAAATATTTTTTCAAAAGAAACAACTTAAAGATTTTTTTCACGAAATTGTCTCAAGAGAGACAAACTTTTTTTCAAAATAAATAGACTCAAAGATTTTTTTTACGAAATTGTCTCAAGAGAGACAAAACTTTGTTTTAACAGAAATAGACTCAAAGATATTTGTTTCAAAAGAAACAACTCAAAGATTTTTATTCAAAAGGAACAGACTCAAAGATTTATCTCAAGAGAAACTGTCTCAAGAGAGACAAAATTCGTTTTAAGAGAAAAAGATTCAAAGATTGTCGATATTGTTTCTAGGGAAACAATCTCAAAGGTGTTTATTTTTAAAGGGGAAACTGTTTCACGCGAGACGAATCGATTTTGAAAAACTCAAGTGATATTAATTTTGTTTCAAGTACAACAAATTTAAATTTGTATCTCAGAGAAAAAAATGTCTCAAGCGAAACAAAATTTGTTTCGAAATAAACAACAATCTCAAGTGAGGTTAATTTTGTTTCATGTGAAGCAAATTTGAAATTTGTATCTCAAAGGAAAAATATCTCAAGCGAGACGAAGTTTGTTTTAAAAGAAACAACAATCTCAAGTGATATTAACTTTGCTTAATGTGAAACAAATTCGAAATTTGTATATCCAAGGGAAAAGGTCTCAAGCGAGACGAAATTTGTTTTTTTAAAGAAATTATCTCAAGCGAGACAAAATTTGTTTTTTAAAAAACTGTCTCAAGCGAGACAAAATTTATTTTACAAAAGAAATTGCCTATAGTGAGACAACATTTTGTTTCGATAGAAACAATATCAAAGGATACTGATAGTCTGTTTGTTCCTGCTGGCGGATGAAATGTCCTAATTGTTGACTTCAGGAAGTCACATCTGTGGATGTCATTGTTTCTTCAAGTTAGAGACATATGGTCATTTTCAAGCTTTGATTTCCTAAGAGATCAAAATGATGCATTTTTGACTGACTATATTGGATGTTACGATGGATGTCAAGATGAAATTTATTTGATTTTTTTATTGAATTTGTCCTCAAGAGAAAAATGTCTTTAATGCACCTGATGATAAATGTTTAATGCAACTATGCAAAATCATGTAACATGCATGTATGTGTTGATGTATGTATATATGTATGTATGAGTTGATGTATGTTTCTCAATCTGTAAGGAGAATGGCTGCGAGAGCAGTCTTCACTCTATCTTTGATTCGGTTTGTCTTCATTTCCACCAGGGTGTACTCTTTCAAACCTTGACCCGAGACAATTTGTTTTCTTTGCCCCATCAAATTTTGCCCCAAAATAGCTTCTCTTGTCCAGCTTCGATTCTGAGCTTCGGAGATATATTTGTTGAATTCCAAGATATTTCCGGATAACTTATCTTGTTTGAAAATGTTTTTTTTGAATTTTCAAAATTTTGAAAAATATTACCTCCTAATTTTCACAATTGAAGCAAATCATAAAACATGAATTCATTGGATATCAAAAGAATCAAATACTATTTTAA